TGCTTCTTGATGGGGAAAAATACCGTTCAAGCGATGCAATGGCTTGAAAAGTCTTATAAGGATTCTGCTCCATCAGAAGCAACAATTAAACGTTGGTTTGCTGACTTCAATCGTGGTGATGCAAAACGCAGTGGACGTCCAAATGAGACAGTAACACCAGAAAACATTAAAAAATCCACAAAATCGTTTTGAATGATCGAAAAATGAAGTTGTGTAAGTTAGCTGACATTGTAAAGGTATCAAAGGAACGTGTTGGCTTTATATTGCTTGAGCATTTGACTAAGAGAAAGACTCAAATAGGGTGCCCCGCAAGCTTACTGTTGACCAAAAACAAGAACATCTTGATGATTCTGAGCAGTGTTTGGCCATGTTTAAACATAACCGGCATTTCTGAATCGATATGTGACAATGCATGAAACAAGGATCCATCACTTCACTCCTTAATCAAAACGATTGTCATCTAAGTGGATAGCAACTGGTGGTTTATGGCCTCTGTATTCGCGGTATGCCACAGATAACTATATTGGGACCAACACTGTTCAATTTATTTTTGAATGATCCATTGTTAGTACTATCAGTTTCGCTGACGACACTGTAGTGATGTTTATCTCAGAGTCACGGGATAGTCTAAAAATATTAGCAGAAACCAACATGAAACTCTTAAAAACGTTGTTCGACGACAACTTGCTCACATTTAGTGGAATAGTAATACTTTGGAATCAGCAATGTTATAAAATAAGTGAGAACGTTTTTAAGTTTTTTTGGTGTACATTATCTAAACATTTTGTGCTTTTCCCTCATCCAATCTCATCCAAGCTATGGAATTATTGGATGGGTGGACTTACAAAAAGGATTTCTAAAAAATTTGAAAGTAATACATGTAAAACATTAGAAATACCAGTCAGATTTGTTACAGGTCTTAAATAATAGCCAAACCTATGCTCAAAATATTTTAATCGCTATAAAAAAAAATCTTTCCCTCTGATGAAAACAACATATTTATGATACAAGGTATAGAATCATAACAGAGAAAAAAAGTGAAGGAAGTTATCGGTGGAAAAAATTACTCTTGCACCCAAATTGTTTCAAGTGCTGCCATTATATTCAATTAAAAAACGTTATTTGTTGAGACAGGAAGGTCGCTTTTTCATTTCGATGGCTCCGCGAATTATCCGAGCTTGTAGTGTTTTCGCTGTGGCAACGGTCTAAGTATTCGCAAACTCTATATTGTATCCTGTATCTTGATGATGTTTGGACAGGGTTGAGGATGTTCGGACAGCAAGTTGATGATCGTATACTCTACTTGTCAGACATCTGTTGGTCTGGCCTATATATGTTCTATGGCAATCGGAGCATGGAATTTTATGTATACCCTGAGATTCATTGACAATTTTGTCCTTGGGGACATATATTGCTCACTTCATTAGCATATTCTTCATATATTTTAATACAATTATGACACTGTATGAGTCTAAGGGTGGGAATGAATAGTTCCAATAAACTTGACACTTTTCATTTCCCACAACGGATTCAATATCCACCGGAGCGTAGGGCAACACTGGCGTCTCGTCAATAACGTAAAAGGGTCTTAAATGGTAATGAAGCACTCTTAGGGCCGCGTTATATCGATGGATGTAGGATGAGACTGCATACGCTGAACATGCTGCGGCAGGTCAGGAACGTCTATACCCATCACGCTACTGCGGTATTCCAAGGCGTTATAGACAACATCCTAACAGGCCATTATAAACCCTTCAGTTTTCGACTTCAGCTCACTCGACCTGAAGACAGCGAAGGTCAGGTGCTTTGATAAGCCGAGGACTTCATGTTGTTGAAGAAGACCCCATGCTTTGGCTCATCCATGTGTTGCTGCACGAGTAACGTGCTCTCTGTAGTTTTTACGTAGGCATATTTGAATGTCCAGGTCAGTGCCAGAATTGTGATGACCTCGCTCAGTATGGGAAACTCAACCGAGTTAATCAGCCACTCGGGTAGCTGCTTAAAAAGGAAAAGTTCCAATTTCTACTCTCTCATTATTAATTCTAAAAGACATAGATATTATAAATGGTCGTTTTAATAGTATCACATATGCGATTAAAAAACTAACTCACAACAAACCTTACTTGATGAGCACAAGACTCATTCAAGACTTTTTTAACTTCTCCATCATGCATACATTCGAAGTTCAGAAATATCTAGCAATGTAGTAGGCACGGATACTATTTTGTTGAGGATGATACGGCTTTTTGATAGCAATCTAATAGAACACTGTACAACCACTGCATTACTCTCGTTAACTGATGACAATTTCAAAGTATTTGATGAAATTAACTCAACTCTGCTCGTTCTCCTAGATTTTAGCAAAGCGTTCCTTACAATCGAGCATAAAACACTTTTTAATAAACGAAGTTATTTTGGATTTCCTGGAGATGACTCTCTCGTCGAGAGCTATCTGGATGAACGTACCCAAATAGTTGTCTAGATCAAATTCCTCTGCCTGTAATATTCGAGGTGCCAAAAAAGTTCAATACTTGGGCCATCGCCATTTTCTCTCTACATTTCATATTTCTATAAACATGCAAAAAATTTCCACATTCGGCGTTATACTGACGATACCCAGTTCTTTTCCATTCGAGAATCTATACATTGCTGTGAGTTGATTTGATCATGATTTACAATCATTGTATTATATATCTGTGGCACATAACCTCAAACTCAAGAGTTCTTAGACCTAAGATAACGGAGAGAGTGCTAGTTCTGTGATCAATCTAAAATGATGAATGCAAGAATCATGGACTTTATTTTGATTTTGATTTACGATTTCAGAGACATAGCAGTCATCTCTGTTGAACTTTCTACAATGTTCTTAGACAGCTGTTTCAAATTCTAAGTTGATGCTGGAAGTATGTGAGTCTCTTATTTTTCCGAAACTATCATACTGTGACTTTATTTACGGTCCTGCAATCTCACAAACTCATTCAGTTCGCATCCAGAGGAGTCAAAATTCATGTCTTCGCTTTTCTTGTGGCATAAGGTAATATGATCGCATTAGCTCATAAATAAAAGAATCGGGATGGCTATCATTCGCTGACAATCACTCATAAAAATATTATAATTCAAGAAACGAGAATATTTAGCTGACAAACTCAATACATTTCGAGAATACCCTCGTTATGATGCCAATACTCGTAACAAGCTTTCACTTCTAATTCCTAAACATTCGACTTCCATTTTCACTCGTATCTCTTCATATAATGCCAATTTATTTGGAGACCTTCCCAGTGAGTATAGATACTATTCAATTTACAAATAAAAAAAATAGTAAACTGCTCTTTCTCACTCGCTGATTGTCTTACGTCGTTCTGAAATTCTTTTGCAAACTAACATCTCTGCTGGCGATAGGCTCTTGGTACTATAAATGTTTATCTTTTTCTATAATAGTTATCAATGATAATAACTGTAGTGGTTTAGTAGAAAAATAGCTTTGCAGACACTTTATTCTTTCTTTGGAATAAAGTCGATTCATTATCATCATTATTAAAAATGTGGATTGGGGTAACCTCAGGGCGACTCAATTTGACAGGTACAGTGACAACCTGTCTCTTACAACTGTAGATTCAATCGAGAACGGATGTGCACCACTGTGCCAATTCACGGCTATTTTTCACTTAATATACTTTTATCGTATGTTAGGGGCTGTCGAAAAAGGGGGCTAGGAGATTGATAAAAAATAATGTATCGAAAGTATTTAAACATATTCTTAGACATTATTGTGCATTGAACCTTGAATTCCAAAAAATATCCTGAATCTATGTGAAAATTAGTTGAATATCATTAACTGACAGTGCTATCAAATAACTTCAAATATTAACAGTTCAAGGAATATTTTTGAAACAACCAACTCGAGTCTTACCTCCTCGAGTATTGGTGGTAATTCATTATTAAATGATTTGAAATCCCCGAAACTACTGAAAAAGAAGAATTAAAAATAAATAGCTGAAAATAACAATTATATTAAGCAAAAATAACCTAAAATGAAATAATAGTGAAATAAAATACAAGTAAAATTAAAAATTTATTTCATTTCAGGTTATTTTTGCTTAATATAATTGTTATTATCAGCTATTTATTTTTAATTTTCAATTCTTCTTTTTCAGTTGTTTCGGAGATTTCAAATCATTTTACATATTAGACTATTTAAGGATATGGTGGTTGACGGCTTCCTCCATGATTTTTTATATCACTGATGGCAAAGCCACTGGTCTATAGTTGTTTGAAAGATTTTTCTTACCCTTTTTGGGAATAGGCTGAACGCGAGCGATCTTCCAACAAGAGGAAAAAACCCCTTCTTTGTGAGACAGATTGAAAAGTCTGCAGAATGTTGGTGCGAGTTCATTGGGCACTTTTTAAGTACGATGACGGGCTCTTCACCAGGACAAGAGGCCTTGTTGATAATAATCTGTTTCATAATTCGGCTGACTAGACGTCGTCGAAAAGTAATTTCCAGCATTGTGGATTCTGATGTGTGAATTGTGGGTGGTGCCTTTCCCAGAAAGTCGACTGTGGAGCTAATAGATTTGCTTTTTCTATGACTGTTGTTGCAATTGAACCATCCGCTTCTGTTAGTGGTGGAATTGTGGATTTTTTAAAGTTTTGATTAACAGCTTTAGCTACCGACCAGAACGATATAGACCCGTTAGGATTGGCAAGCAGTTAACCCTAATTCTCTGATTGTGAAGTTTTTTGCTTTCATTTATTCTAATTTTGCATTTGTTGCGAGCATTAACGAATCTAGTTCTGTTCTTGGTACTGGGATTTTCACGCCATTGCCTTTAGGCGAGATTTTTGGAGGCGATAGCCTCCTCGCGATCATTGTTGAACCAAAATTTGCCGTTTAGTGTCAGTTTATCTCATACTGAATCATCAAGTCCCCATATGTCAGTAGCCTATTTACCTGTACTACACAGTGAGAAATATGTTAATTTCGTTTTTTTTTTCAGAATCTAGAAGAAAGAATAAAAACAATGACGGACTCTGATGAGAAAACGAAGTGCCAGCTCATTTTGGACCATGCTAATGTAAGATATTTATTTCTGTTTTGAGATGTGGCAAGAATTAGTAATGATCATGTTCAGAAACTAATTTGAAAAACTATTTTGCCATTGACTCTTCAATTTTCTTGACATTTACGGCCCCATTTTTCTGAAAATAGAAATGTATTAATTTTTCATATTCAACTACCATTCAATTTTGTCCGCTAGATGTGTTTATTATCCAGTGTGAATAAAAATGCACCAGTGCCTACTTTATAATACTTTGAATACAATGATTTTTTTTTTCAGATAATGCTGGATAACATTAAACACTCGATAGTTCTATTACAAATAGCTAAGGTGAGTCGCACTATTTACAAAAAGAAAGAATGATTATTTTTACGCTTTGTAGATTCAATTTGACCAAGTAGTGCCATTATGAGATTTTTGGGACTTGATACAATATGTAACTCTTCAAGTTTATCACTGGCACTGTTTCATGGTGAGGTTTTGATCAACCCACTGTTAGGGAAACAGTACAATCGCCATCTGGGAAAAAAATTAAATGGAAAAGGGGTCTTGTGACACATATTTTTGAAGCTCCTGACAAATGCCTCACAAGCCTAGAATATAATGTTAATATCTTCAACTACTACAAAATGGCGGAACTTTTAATAATTGCCTGAATACATTGACATTTAACTACATAATGTGAGGTAATGAGCTTGAGGTCAATTCAGAAGATGTTTGAAATGGTTGCCTTGAACTTCTTGGTATATGAACAGTTCGGCACGCTGAACATTTTTGAACACAGTAACGTCAGTATTTCTACAAATATTTATTATTCTCTGCCGTATCTCCAATATTGAAGCAGGTTCAGTTTCGTACACCTTTTCCTTCAAATAGCCTCATAAAAAAGTCCAAAGGTGTCAAATCTGGCGAGCGGCTAGCCATTCTGTAACCAAATAGTTTTTTACTCGTCTGGAATAATGTGGTGGTGCTCCATCTTGTTGGAATACAATATCCATATCGAATTTATTAGGATTAACTTCGACAATTTCAGTGATGAGAGGGTCAACAGTAGTTTCCAGCATATTCAAATACAGTCCCCCTGTTAAATTTTAAACAATAAATAGAGGTTCTACAATATGGTTTCCCAATATCCTTGCCCTAACGTTAATTTGTTCTGGATATTGGGTATGTGTTTGTTTCCAGGAAAACGTGAGGGTTAGTGTCACCCCGATAACAGCAAATTTGTCTGTGAACATTGTCGTTTAAAAAATGTACATTCGTCACTAAAACAAACAATGTGGAGATAGGTAGGATGCCTTGAAGGGTCATCTTCAGTTAATTGGTGTACCATTTTAATTTTGTATGGATGATACCTATTCCTTTTCAAAAGTCACAGTTGAAGGAGACCCCTCACGAACATTCGCGACGGAATAAGTAGACTGTTCAGGATTTATTACCATCTCACCTATTATTTGCACTTGCTGTTCTTCCGGAATGGACGGATGACCTGAGGGTTTTTTGCTATGTACACTACCGGTAGTTGTGAATTTGGATACAAGTTCCCTCAAATATTTTGTACAGATAGGATGATTCGGAAAACGTTCATTGAAAATCCTTTCGGTCTCGTGAAAATTACGCTTCGCACTGTAAATAAAAATCGCTTCAATTTTTTCTTCCAATGGACGAGAATTGAGCATTTTAGAGATTGTTCACGTGGTACCTTTCTACTAGTACAACCGCAAACTAAATGAGAATATTTAACTGAACAATGATGTTCATTGTCGTACTAAATTTTTTTGTTGTTTTTATAATCAAGAAATAAATTAACAAACATTATCGGGTTGTTGGAATTGCCATATGGCAGATAATGAATATTTCTAGAAATATTCATTTCAGGAAATTATTAAATGTTCCGCCATTTTGTAGTAGGTGAAGATATTGACTTCATATTTTAGGGTTGTGAAGTATTCGTCAGGATACAAATGCCTCAAAAACCAAAGAAGGCTCAGGATCACTGAGCCTAAGGATTAAGTGGAGAATGGGAAAAAATACCAGCGTGGTCCAAACAGAAATGGCTGATATCTCAATCGTCACAAAAGAAATAACCAGGAAATAAATGTCTGGCATAAACATAACAATCTGCACTGATAGCAGACAAGCCCTATTAGCCTTAGACAGACAACATGCACCTAGTACTAGAGTGCCACCAAGATTTAGCCAAAGCCTCGACATATAGTAACATCCTGAGATGGGTTAACGGGCACGAAAGAGTAAAGGTAATCGCATTGTCAACTCTTTAGCCAAGGAAGTGGCTGGTCTGAGAATTTTAGGACCCAGTGGCACCTACGGCTTGATGACTACGACAATTGCGGAACTAGCCAAACGTCACACCCATGCTCAATCCCTAAAGATATGGGATGAAATTAACGAATGCAATCTTGCCAGGATCACCCTGGGCGACCCTGGGAAGCTGGCGCCGAAGAAATATCTGGCGATGATTATAAAAAATCAATGCTCAACAGTAGGATTTTTGACTGGCCACTGTCAACTAAGAAAACACCTCCATAATATGGGGCTAGTGGACACACCTCTATGCAGAATGTGTGCCCAGAACAGAAGTGTCAGGCATGTCCTATGCATGTCCGGAGTTATCGTCAATAAGAGAGTGTGTGTTCGGCGAGTCTTGGCCTACCCCTGCCAATATAAAGGAGGTGTTTCCTAGAGACGTGTCTACCTTCCTGGAAAGGACAGGATGGACGATGACCTAGGAGGAGAACTTCTTGGAAGGATGTAACATGGGTTACATGATGCCTAAGTGCTGTGGGCCTACTCTACAGATACAAAGATATGCCAAATATAATGCAAATCTTTCAGAACGCCATTGAATTAATGGAATCCGACAGAGTAACAATCACTGAAATTCATGACGTAATGATTGATCTGAAAACGAAGCTACAAAACAGACCAGTTGACCAATTTTATGGTAAATCTGTCATTGATTTATTGGAGCAGTTTGTTGAACCGCAAAAATAAATTTCAAAACTGAGTTCAATAATAAATTGATGGATGTAGCCGTTACTATGTGGTAGGAGATCATAATGAAAAGAGAAATTAAAATTTCTATGTTTTTCACCACTTTAAATTGTAACTAACGTTACTGCAGTTTCGTCCTATATGGACATATTATTATTATTAAAAATAAGTATATTGTATAAGTTTGGGAATGTCCATATAGGACGAAACTACAGTAACGTTAATTACAATTAAAAGAGGTAAAAAACATAGAAATTTTCATTTCTCTTTTCATGAGTTCAATAACTTTCTTACGCGATGTTTGACATATTCACAAAACTTATATAACTTTGAAGATCCGGAATACCAAACAATGAAAATTTCATCTTTCAAAGAACCAATCACATGGACTGGCATTACTAGACTCCAATAATTATTTAATATTGACTCAAATAGTGACAACATGTACGATGAGGTTGGACTTTTGCGTGAGATGCAACCACATCTCGTTGAAGAAAATCGAGTGTATTTACGCTGGGTTGACTTCTATACGAAATCAAAAGACAAAAATCACGGCCTGAATTGAAAAAAATGGTTTGTTATTTTCATTCCTGTCTCTAATGGAGCAGTTTCTTTCGTTACTCCATCCATACTTGCTCCATCAACTGGTTTAGTGAGCCGAAGGGAAGCAAAGACCATAAAAAAAGAAAAGAAGAAGAAGAAGTCTTTGGAAAACATATCATGGATATGTTGATTATATCACATATATGGGAACTGTTCATTTTGTATATTCCTTTGAATATAACGCAGAAATGCTATCGATGCCAATTGAATACGTTTTTTGAATTGAGGGTAACTAAAAAAATTTACTTCGGGGTAACTGGGCGGAAAAACATTGAGTGAGATGTCACTTCAACTTTAATACAGGGTGCAATTTGGAAACTTCCGACCCTTAATATCTTCCTTCCAGTAAATAATGTGAAGAATCCAAAAACAGGTCAATTTTATAGTCGAGGGGGACACTTTCAAAGAATATTTGTAACCCTCGTGGTTCAACACCCAAGGAGGGGTAGATTTTACCCTTAGAGTCTTAAATGGGACGGGGTGTCAAGTGGCACATAATTTTGGCGTTCAATTCTGCTTCTAATGGTACCCCTACTTATTATTTTGATGTATTGACTCCTTTCAATAAAAATTGTTAAAAGAGTAGGTGGCACCGTTCCAACCCTGGAATGACAGGAATAAATGTATTTCGCGTGGGATCTTTCATTTGTTGGTTATTGTCCTCTTACAAAATAAAATTTGCGAGAAAGACATTTCAAGCGTAAAATCTACTTACGCTTATCTTATGAACTGTTCTAGATGTCGTCCATTTTGCTCTAAACAGTAATAAGGTATGTTTTTGAACTTCCCTTCAACATTACGGAAAACTTATTCTTTCAATATCAGAAGGTTGTGTTTTATAAACAACGGATTCAAGAAGCCCACAAGGAGAGAAGTCTAAGGGTGTTAAAATCGATGATTTCGGAGGCCATTCAACTGTTCCTCTTTTGCCAATCCATCTATCTGGAAATCTTTCGTTTACCCACTGTTGGACGGGAATAAAATAATGAGGTGGAGCATCGTCCTGCTGGAAATGTAACAGATCTCCCTGCAGAAGTTGAATACCTTTCGCATCCATTTGAGTTTCTAGGTCTTGACCTATAAGAGTATCGATAGTCTCTTCGAGGATTTCAAGGTACAGATTGTCAGTCAAGATTTCTTCCAGAAATAATGGACCAGTTATGGCATTTCCAAGAATACCAGCCCAAACATTAACTTTTTGTGGGTATTGTTAATGCCCTTCCCGAATAATATGTTGGTTTTCGTCACTTCAATAGCGACAATTTTGTCTATTAACATTGTCATTCAGAAAAAAATGAACACTATTGCTGAAACAGATGTTTAACAGAAGATTGGGGATGGCATTGACTCCATGAGACATGATTTCACAAAACTCTATTCATCTATCATAATCATCCCCGTGGAGCTCTGGAAGAAACTGCATTTTATAAGAATGAAATTTATGCATTTTCAATGCTTTTCTCAAATTCTCGCGTGACATTCCCGTCTGTTCTGATACTGATCGTAAGGAGCTCGTGGGCTCGGCAGCAAATGTTCCCAAAACTTCAATTTGAGCTGCTTTTGTATCTGATATCTGTACACTTTCTGCGATGAGAATTAAAAAATCAGCATTTACTAAACATAACTTTTACAACCATCTACGCTTCACTATTGAACCACTTCTTAATATGAATTAAGCTCCAATTAATGGCTAATGTTACCCCTAATAAAGGGTTGGAACAGTACCACTTAATATTCTTACCAGTTCTGGTCAAACCAAGCATCTTAGTATAATGTGTACAAATAACTACAAATAAGTCAGGGTACCATTGGAAGCAGAATTGAACGCCAATCAAAATGATGTGCCACTTGACGTCCCTTCCTATTAAAAATTCTAAGGTTAACACCTACCCTCCCAGGGAGTTGAACCTCGAGGGCTACAAATAGTCCTTGAACGTGTTCCCCTTGACAATAAAATTGACCTGTTTTTTCGATTCCTTATATTGTTTTCTGGAAGGAAGATATTAAGGATGGGAAGTTTTCAAACTGACACCCTGTATTATAATTTTGTAAGTACATTTGGTACAAGAACAACCCGTTGATATTTTGGTTGACAAGTACAATTTTGTAACATGATAGTAGTACTCCTTATTGCAAATTTTTGCTTAGATCAAAATATTTTGTTAGGGACAGAACACAAATACTACCGGAAAATTTTTAAGGCGTTCTAAGAGCGGTGCCATTAACGACTAACGTTGGATTGGAATCGCTAGTGAATAAATTCATTTGGAAAAACGTTCTCAGGAAGGTCATTCCACATAAACGCAGTTCTCCAAATGAAATAGTAAATTTGGAGGTGTACTGAGTTGAACCACAGTCCGTCGCGTATTTCTGATGTACTGCTCTTGGTGAAATCAAATGTGCCAAGTCACTTGAATATATCTCGTAAGAGTATTTATAGAAGAGAGGCAAATCTCCAAACCTTTCTTCGATGTTCCAGACTATCAAGATGCAAGTGATTTTCGTGTCTCCAATCAGGCGGATGGCTCTTTTTTGGATGAAATCTGCAGCTTCAGAGTATGCTTAAGGGCGGAGCTACATGCATGAGAACAATATTCCAAATAAGGTGTGATCTGAGCTTTATAAAGCATCAAAAGTTGCTGAAGTGTGTAGTTTTCTGGTTAGGAACAGTGTTCCAAGCTTTTGAGAAGCAGCCTTTGCAATTCCAGCGATATGATTGTGCCAAGACTTGCTGGTGTCCATTCTAACCCCCCAACAAACTTATCGAAGCAGAAAGCGGAATTGTCTGTCCTATTATATGCGGTTCAGAGACATATATCTCTTTGAAGAAATCCGCCGATGTCTGGGTTTTTGTGCCATTAAATTTAACCTGGTTACTATCACCCCAATTCGAAATCACCTCTAGATCCTCATTGAGATATGCAACTTCCTGCTGTCGGTGAAGATGTGGATCTGCAGCCGATGTCTTGGAATCCAAATGTAATGATGAGACAAGTGTGCTGTCCTCAGCAAAGCATTATATTTGATTCTTGTTTTTTTCCAATAAGACATCGATATACAATAAAAAATGGTTGGAGACAATATAGATCCCTGGGGAACACCAGCGTTGATGGTAAAAGTATTAGAGAGATATCCATCGACGGCCACTTGCAGGGAACGTTCTTTCAGGAAGCTGGCGAGCCATACACAAAAATGATCGGACAAGCCATAGCATCAAAATTTGTCCAGCAAACCCTCATGCTATATAAGGTAAAAGGCTTCAGAAATATCAAGCGCAACAGCTCTTGACTCTTCATATTTTTTCGATTGCGTTATTCCAAATATGGTAGACATACAATACTAGGTTAATCTTTGTTATTGATAGTCATATTGATGATCGCTCATGATGATAAAGCCTTTCAAATATTTGAGGATATGCTGGTTTACGGCTTTGTTCATGAGTGACTGGTATATAGTTACTTGGAAGAGTTTTCTTGCCTTCTTTGGGATTATGCTGAATGTGAGAAATCTTCCAACAAAAAGGAGAAACCTCTTCCTTGTAAAACAGCTTGAAAAGTCTGCAAAATACTGGTGCGAGTTCAGTGGAGCACTTTTTCAAGTACGATGACGGGCACTTCATTAGGACCACACGCCTTAGTAATTTTCGTCATTGTGGATTCTAGTGTGGAAATAGTGGGTAATGCCTTTCCCAGAAAATCAAATGTGGAATGAGAAGCAAATTGTTCAGATTTGCTTTTTCCTAAGTATAATTTGTTTAAGCGTGCGCATAAATGCGGTAGCAATTTATTCGACCAATGGTCAGCTGCGACCATTATCTCAGTATTGTTTTATCAATTCTTATTGTTTTTTTCATTACGCCACATTTCAATTTTTCCACTTTTCAAATATGCTCGTTTTTTATGTGAAATCTGCAACCTCCCTTCCCCATGCTTGGGATATTCATTATAACACATTTCATTCAGATTCATACTGAAACCGTTTCGTTTAATGGTTTGCTATATGACTTGAACTTGAATTAGAATATATTTTTTCCAGCATGATTTTCTCCGGCAAGTATCTCTTTTCCTTAAAATAGACCTCCACCGCTGAATTATAAATAGAGCGTTTTGATTGCAGAACACGGCGCACCCCGTAAATGGTATTTATCATCAGAGGCCGGGACCTTCGCACATTGTCGCTTCAGAGGGTGAGTTTTATCTTTTATATTCAATGCAGTATTTCGGTTGGTTGTTGATGGTGGTTCTAATGTGCAAGTATTATCAATTCCCTCATTTAGCCTTAGCTAATATACAATATGTTTGATCCTAACTATCATTAGGCTAATGTCAAAATATTCAAACAATGAATTACAAATATACAGGGTGTAACTAAATAAGTGTGAAACATTCAAGAAGGTGATTCCTCATCGAAAAAAAATAGGATCTTTCGTATAAAGAAATTTCATTGGAGCATCCCTTGTTAAGATACAGCCCCTTAAAGGGGGTACATAAAATTTGTATAACAATTTTTTTCACAAGCACTAAAAAAGTTACAATATTTTAATTGACCTGACGTTTTGTACTTCCAAAAAGATACTTAGCCAGAAATTTATTTGGTTTTCCACATGGTTGTAAAGGGTGGAAAACGTAACCCCTAAAATTTATTTCCAATGTAACTTGTTGTTTCATTATTTGTTTACCATTTAAAAATTTATTTCCGATAGCCTGTTTCAGTCTAAACAAAAAATGTCTCTTGGGTTTTTTGCCCAAAATAAACCAGTTCGCAGAAAAAAATATTTTAGGAACAACTACAGAGATACATCGTCATAAATGCGAAAATACGAAACTAATCTATCTAGTAGGTCTCCAAACCTATGCTCAAAATATTTTAATCGCTATAAAAAAAAATCTTTCCCTCTGATGAAAACAACATATTTATGATACAAGGTATAGAATCATAATAGAGAAAAAAAGTAAAGGAAGTTATCGGTGCACCCAAATTGTTTCAAGTGCTATCATTATATTCAGTTAAAAAACGTTGTTTGTTGAGACAGGAAGGTCGCTTTTTCATTTCGATGGCTCCGGGAATTATCCGAGCTTGTAGTGTTTTCGCTGTGGCAACGGTCTAAGTATTCGCAAAGTCTATATTGTATCCTGTATCTTGATGATGTTTGGACAGGGCTGAGGATGGGTCTGACTTTCGGACACTCTAGTTATCAATAATAATAACTGTAGTGGTTTAGTAGAAAAATAGCTTTGCAGACACTTTATTCTTTTTTTGGAATGAAGTCGATTCATTATCATCATTATTAAAACTGTGGATTGGGGTAACCTCAGGGCGATTCAATTTGACAAGTGCAGTGACAACATGTCTCTTACAACTATAGATTCAATCGAGAACGGATGTACACCACTATGCCAATTCATGGCTATTTTTTACTTAATATACTTTTATCGTATGTTAGGGGCTGTCGAAAAAGGGGGCTAGGAGATTGATGAAAAATAATGTATCGAAAGTATTTAAACATATTCTTAGACATTATTGTGCATTGAACCTTGAATTCCAAAAAATATCCCGAATCTATGTGAAAATTAGTTGAAGTTTATCATTAACTGACAGTGCTATCAAATAACTTCAAATATTAACAGTTCAAGGAATATTTTTGAAACAACCAACTCGAGTCTTACCTCCTCGAGTA